CCCCCCTCTGAGTCTAGGAGCTCACGCCTATAAAGGGGGTGAATGACACCAACTTCCTGTTTTGAGGTGAAGTGAGAAAGCACACAGGAAATGCTTAGCTTGGACCCCCTGGAGCTCAGCTGTTGGGTGCTGCCCCTAAGGTCAGTTTTGAAAGGCCTTCCTCTCTCCTGGTTTCCTGGGGGCTCTGGCAGCTCTGTGGCTGCCTCTGCTTGGACTGTGTACTTGTTCTGGATGCCAGAGCACTGTCCCCTCAGAGATTCAATCCCACCACCTACGAGTGCTAAGAACAGCCTCGAGGGGAGGAGACGCAGGGAAGACGCAGCTAAGGAGAAGGGAGAGGGGTCACAGCTCCCGGGCAGGACGTGGTCATCAGGCCTTGTTGGTCAGCGATGCTGTCAGATGAGGACAACTTCCGCAGGCCCCACAGCGCAGTCCCTCTTGAGAAGGGAAAACACCAAATCCAGGCCCTGAGAGGAACCTGGAGATGCCTGGAAGGGAGCCAGCAGTTCCCAGGTGCTGACCAAGGACTGTCCCTCAGCCCTTATCATGACGGAGCAACCTGTCCCCAGAATAGGATCCCCAATCTTTCAAGACTCGGTGGCCAGCCAGCCAGCTCTGACTGCATCTTGAGACAAAGCGACATTACCGCTCTGTACTGCCTGCCTCAGGATTTTGGTTACGCTAAGCTTGGATAGGTGTCCTTTCAGCAACTCCCGTCAGCCACCTCTGCCCAGTCTCCTCAGGAGCCTTAGAATGAAACACCGCTTTCCTTCCCCTGGAAGAACCTCAGAGCAGAACATTCTAGCTCTCGGGCCCTTGCAGCTCCCTCCACGGCCTGACAGTGTTTCCCTCTCTCCCTGCAGATCGTGGCCGCCATCCTCGCCATAGCAGGCATTGTCATGATGACCTACGCGGATGGCTTCCACAGTCACTCCGTCATCGGCATAGCCCTGGTGGTGGGCTCTGCTTCCATGTCAGCCCTCTACAAGGTAGGCACAGGGAACCCACTTTCTCAGCAGGCATCTGGGCAGCAGCGCTCTGGAGCCCACCACTGCCTGTCACTTTGGACATTCTGGATGGTGTCTGGGCTTCTGAGAAGAACAGATATTTTCAGGATGCATCAAGAGGCAGACATCTCCAGGGCAGGGCCCAGACAGGCAGCTGAGAAAGACTGGACCCCTGAACCTGGCCCCGTGCTTGTGCCTAATGGAACATGAAGACTAGATTATGTGTATGCCTTTGTCATGCAAATCCTTGGCCGTGTGATTTTTTTTTTTCTGGGGCACCAGCCAATATGAGTCCATGAGCCGTTCAAACACTGCTTGTGAAATGAATACACCAAAATATCTTTCGGCAAGAGCTGGGCAAATGTCTGTCATGCTATCACTCACTGAGGCAGGAGCATTGCCAAAAGCTTATGGAGAGCCTGGGCCATGCTGCCAGACCTTTGCCTCAGAAAAGAAAATAAAATTTTTGACACAGTGAAAGGACTTCCTAACGGCCAGTCTAGAGACAACAAGTGACTGTCCCATGGCAGGGTGTGCCGTTCTTACGCCAATTCTGTGCGTTCCCACGCTGTCACCTCCCCTAGCTCCTGTTTCTCCCCCCTCCTCTCCTTTCCTTTCACCCAGGTCTTCTCTCTCCTCCTCAGATGGAGGAAAACGTAGGCATTTTCAGGGCTATTAA